TCTTCCTGCGGCGGGAGACATGTTCCGCCCCCCGCCCCGCGCCGCCTGCGGGGCTCCGCCCCGGATAGGGCCCGCCCATGGACAAGTCCCGCCCCCTACGCACCCCGCCCGGCTGTACGCCAAGGATCCCTCCGCACCGCCGGCGCAGCCCCAGAAGACTCAGACCCGTTCCGATCACCCTCAAAGAAGAGCTGAAGCTCTAAATTCTCTTCTGTCTGAGAGTGGGTGCGCCGGTTAGAGATACGACTTCCAAGGCGCGGGAAGAGGCAGGGACTATCTCCTTGCGCGGAGGGGTACAAGAGTTGAGCGCATTATTTTTGACGCAAGCGGGAAGAACCGTGAGATTGAAAGATGAGACACAGTGAGGATGACCAATCGGAGGAGGCTAAAGTATGATTGGTGGTATTTTCTAGCCATTCGCGAGAAGGTCCCGCCCCACTTGTTCCCGCCCCAGACAGGGGCGGGACCCTCTGGATGAGAGTCCGCGAGACGCGCTGGAGGGTGGGGCCGCGGGGGGGGGGTGGATAGTGGGATTTTACTCTCAGTTTGGCGTAACCGCCCGCTCAGTTGGGTTGGGTTGGTCATCTTTGCGTTTCTAGGATTGGCTCTCGTATTGTGTACTACGAGCGTGCACCTCAGGCCCGTAGTGAACATCAGATCCGTTATTACTGGAGAAGCCTAGTCTCATTTCATTTCTGGGTTAGAGATCCTTTCGAAGATCGTAGGCTGGTGGTGTGTGTGTGTGTGTGTGTGTGTGTGTGTGTGTTTGAACTCTGGGCCTAGGCTCTGCCCCTGAGCTTCTTTTTGCTCAAGGCAAGTGCTTTACCACCTGAGTCACCGTGCCACTTCTGATTTTTGAGTAGTTAATTGGAGATAAGAGTCTCGTGGAGCCGGGCACCCGTGGCTTACTCCTGTAATCCTAGCTACTCAGGAGGCTGAGATCTGAGGATCACGGTTCAAAGCCAGTCTGGGCAGGAAAGTCTGTGAGACTTTTATCTCCAATAAAAACCATTAGAAAACTGGAAGTGGTGTTGTGGCTCAAGCGGTAGAGTGCTCGCCTTGAGCTGAAGAGCCGAGGGATACTGCCCAAGCCCAGAGTTCAAGACCCACAACCTACCAAAAAAAAAAAAAGATTCTTGTGGATTTTCCTGCCTGGGCTGGCTTTGAACCTCCATCCTCAGATCTCAGCCTCCTGAATAGCGTGAGCCACCGAAGCCCAACGAGGCTGTTCTTTTCCCTTTCTGAGATTCCATTTCCTCATCTGCAAAAATCTGAACCTGAGTTTGGACAAAACTAAAACAGAATAGGGGCTTCCTGATATTCAATAATGTTTGTGTCAGCCGGACACCAGTGGCTCACGCCTGTAATCCTAGCTACTCAGGAGGCTGAGATCTGAGGATCACAGTTCAAAGCCAGCCCGGGCAGAAAAGACTGTGAGACTCTTATCTCCAATGAACCACCAAAAAACCAGAAATGGTGCTGTGGCTCAAGTGGTAGAGTGCTTTGCCTTATGCTGAAGAGCTGAAGGAAGTACCCAGGCCCAGAGTTCAAGCCCCATGGGCAAACCCTCCCCCCCCCCAGTAATAATTTTTGTGTCCATTTCTGTCAGACAGTCCCAGCCCCTAAAAGGGGGCTTTTCAGCCTTTGAGGTCCAAGACCCATGGGATCAGAACAATTGGAACAAACGAGATCAGTCTTCTAAGAATCCTCAGGAGACCAGAGAAGGAACATTAAAAGCTCCTTAAAAAAGCCACAAGCCCCCTCCTCCTATACCTACAATCTGATCCTTTGTGACTCCAAGGAGTCCCCCACATTTGTGGATCTGGGGAATGAGGTATGAATCTGGGGGGTCTGAGTTCCAATCTCATCCTTAACCTGAGACGTTGGACAAGTGGGAAAGTTCTGTGTGTGTGTGTGTGTGTGTATGTGTGTGTGTGCATGCGCGTGCACGCGCACCAATACTGGGGCTTGAACTCAGGGCCTGGGCACTGATCCTTAGTGTTTTTTGCTCCAAGCTGACACCCTGCCGCTGAAGCCATACCTCCACTTCTGGCTTTTTGCTGTTTAATTGGAAATAAGAGCCTAATGGACCTGCCCAGTCTGGCTTCAAACTAGGACCCTTAGATCTCAGCCTCTTGAGTAGCTAGGATGACAGGTGTGAGCCACCAATACTCAGCCTTAAACAAGTTCGTGCTACTTTCTGGGCCTCTGTTTCCCCATCAGGAAGATGGATGCAGCCATTGGCATTTAGCAGGTTCTCGTTTGTGCGTGTGTTCCCTCAGCACCCTTCCGCTGAGATCTGGGTCCCCCCAATCCTTGTCAGCCTTGACAGCCACTGTTTTTCTCTGTGATCCGACCCTCACCCCATGAGTTTGAGGTTATCCCACTAGTTCTGGTTCTCTGTGATCCGACCCTCACCCCATGAGTTTGAGGTTATCCCACTAGTTCTGGTTCTCCTCCGGTTGGTAGGGTTTCTTGAAGATCAGGCTGCTGCTGAGGTCCCAGTGGGACCCCAATCCCACCCTAGCCTCTGCCCAACTCATGCTCAGGGGCCAAACCATAAAATGGAGGCTTGTGTTCCTAGAGAGGCCCTTCAGTATCACTCAGGGGGCTGGTAGTGTGTGGGCTTTATGCCTAGCCTGGGGACCCTGCTGGCTGGAACCTCCATTAGTTCCTTGCCATTGAGGGCAAGAAAAGCCCTCCCTTATTTGTGCCAAATGTGGTGTTGACAGCCAGAAGCTGATGATCAGGTGTCCTGCCTGAGTGATTAAATCCATTCCATGGATGAAAAGACTGAGGCTGAGAGATCCCCACAC